TGCAGCTCTTTAATATAGTTTTTCATGTTGTGATGACCCTCAATCATACATTTTTTTGTTGCCACTTCATGTCACAATTTTGCTACTATTGTGAACTGCAATGTAAATATGTGTGTTTTTCTGTGGTCTTAGGCCACTCCTGTGAAACCAAAGGGGTTGAAACCCACAGGCTGGGAACTGCTAAGGTGTAAGGAAATCACATTTGCCAGTGCAGTCTTTGCTTTCCAACTGTGCACACTGATGTCAAAGCGGGCCTTCCTAAACCACCAGACGCCAAGCACATCTTGTTCATGATGAAATATCAAATATAACTACAGGCTTTTTCCCCCAAGCTTATTTCCTTTTAAAAGAATCATGAGAAATGACAGTCACAGATAAGTAACAAAATAACACATAAATTATAAGCTCAATATTGTGAAAAATTAAAAGTATAAGATTAGAAAAATATGACTACACTGTTAACAGTGCTTACCTCTGGGGTGCGGCTGGGTGATCCACATTTCTTATGCTTTTCTGTATTTCACTGACCCTGCATTGTTACCACCAAGGCCTTCCAGAATCCATTTTTGTGTTGATATGGCAACCATGAAAAAACTTGCTTTATGTAAAATATTAAGAGGGAAACAGACTTGGTAACTATCCATGACAACTGCCCAAAGTCCCCAGAAACCGCTCAGTACTGAGACATGAAAGCAACATGGCTCATATGACTCCGTAGGCTACACAAACAGCTACTGACATGGTCTTCATAGAGCCTGGCCTTAAGGGAGAGGCTTAGCAGATAATAAAATTTGCTCCTTTATCAAAGGATGAAGGACTTTCAGACTAGTCTTCACAAATCAAGAGATTCAGTCAAATCTTAGTAACTCAGGCCTCAGGCTAAATCAAAGTCATCGAAGATATCTAGAATTGTCTCCAGGGTTTAATAAAACCTTCATTAATTTAAAGTGATTTATTTGACACATTGTTGAAAGTCACAGAGAATGAACACACACAGACATTCACACACACAACTTTTGAGAGACTTAAAGCTGCCTCCACATTTTTGTCAGGAGGATATACTTTTATTTTTCTTTCATACTTGGGTATGCTGGAATTTTCTTCAAAAAAGTAGGACACTGAAATCCATGAGTGCCGAAGAGCCTCAAAGTTCATCTTTATCCACTTTTTTCCTTACTCATTTCATATCTAACGAATCCCCAAGCCTTCATGTATTGCTACTTCTCAATACCTTATAGAATCCATCTTTCTTTCAATGTTTACTTCTTTACCCTCATCAGAACTATAGATATTCTGCGCCTGCATCGCTTCACCAGCCTTGACCTTGACTGGTATCCTTACATTCAGATTTCTGAAACCTTGCTACAATCCCAAACCTGACATCTTACTCCTTAGCATAACACCTTCCATAATTTCTAGTTATCCTCAAAGTAAACTTTCTATTCCTTGGCATGGTCTACAAGACCTTTTAGGCTCAACCTCTGTTTGCTACCATGTGTATTCTCTTCTACTACAACAATCCTCTCAATGATGAATTTCCCATGATCTCTCACCCACTCTGGTCCATTAGCTCGAGCAAACATCTCTTCTTGTTCTTGTTCTTGTTCGTGTCATTCTTCTTGTTCTTCTTCTTCTTTTTCTTCTTCTTCTCCTGCTCTTCTTCTTCATTTTTTTTAACCTCACTAACATTTACTCATCTTCTGGACCAAGGTTTGATGTTAGTTGCTCTAGAAAAACATCCCTGATCTTCTTATCAGGGTTGAATACTCTTTTTCTGGATCCAATAGACCTTGTCGTGAAATTGTTCTTTTAATCCCTCCTTCCCATTAATCTGTATATTCTTTCTGATGTTGTATTGACTACATCTTATTATTCTTGTGTATCCAAGGGGTTCAGATTCAGAAAAGAAATAATGCCACCCAGTGCTCTTGTTCAGTAAAGAGAAACTCTTCAGACACCCTCCTCCCTTTTGATAAAGTGTGTTGTTTGTTTATTATGGGGACCAAACCCAAGTTCTCTTGTGTGCCTTGGAGACATTTAAAACGAGATCTGACCAGTTTATTTATAAAGTCATTTTGTCTTTATCTTTTACATAAATAAGGAAATGGGAAATAAGAAATAGGGGTTTTATATTGAAATTCTTTCTTGGAAGCATCTCCTTGCCACTTTTTAGGGATCTATTTCTGTCTTATTTTTTCTATAATATTGAAGAAACATTTCCAATGGTTTGGTTTTTTTGTTTGTTTGTTTGTTTGTTTACTTTTATATTACTTGAGAAGAAAATGTTGGGTTTCAGGGTTCATAAAAAACTCAGTTTCTTGACCTGATACTTTTGTCCTTTGAGACACACACAGGTAACCCCTCCTGCTTACCAGCAACAAGACAATAGGATTCACCCACCTTGACCTTCCACTTTCCTATACTTTATTCCTGAACCTGTGTACATTTTAAAGAAAGGTAAAAGTAGACTTTCCAATGTAGATAATATAAAATATTCTTTCATTTCTACTTCCTCTCAAGTTGTTCATTCTCAGCACGTAAAAGGTTATACTTCTTAGATAATATAAATCTTGAATATATTAGTTGTAGACCTGCAGTCTCGGGTGAGAACTTACATCCTACCTTGTTAAGTACCTGCTTCCCTATAGTGCATTCTTTTTATGGCTACTGTACCTGCCACTTTTTGAGGAAGAACGGTAGAATGTTTGCATTACTCAAGGAAAGATTTCAGTTAACCTTAATATCGTTCTGAGCTTTTGAGTAAACAAGAATGAGAGAGCAGAAAACTGGCTGCTTTGCACTTGTGCTGCTGTTTCCCCCCTCCCTTTCCCCCTTCTCTTCCTTCTTCTTTTTCTCTTCCTTTCTATTTATTTTACTGTAATGTGCATAACAGGAATTGAGTTAATTAATAAAGAACTAGATATGGAGATTGCTCATAGAGGTTAGCTCTGGTGCATTTATATAATACTAGCTTACAGGTGAAATTAAACAAGATGATATTTCCAGGAACATTGACTGCCAAGAGTTTTAATTCAGAGAAACGTAATGAGATGTCTCTTTTTAGTCAATCCCAGTTTATTGGTCTAATAGCTACCCCTAAAAGTAGTTGTGAATTCTATGGAGTGCTACATATCTTAATATGAGACTTTTATTGGGTTAATTTTTCAATTTATTTCTCATTCCTAAAAGTTTACATTTAGTAGTTTGAAGTCTATGTAATTATGGAAGTCATTTACTGAACATGAGCTCATTTTAAGAAACTGAGCACCTTTCATCTCCCCATTCATCACGGAAGTCAGTTCCTTCCTGGCCATTTTCATTCTAACTAGTATAATTTCCTTTGATGAGAAAGATGGAAATCAACTAGGCTTCTATACAGCTACAGTCTCTTCTCTGTTAATGATCTTCTTGTGTTCTTTCTCCTCCTTGTTTAGCTTCGTTGTTTTTCTGAATATCTAAGTATGAAGGTGAGGGGTATAGCTCATTGTTAGAGCACTAGGTAGCATTGCTTGAAGCCGTGAGTTTGATCTCCAGCACCACAAAAAGAAAAGTACATTCATGACTTACATTCTTTCTAAGACATTATACTATCATGTACCATTGTTACACATGCCCTGTATGAGGATTTTCTTTCATCTTTTTCTATTCATATTTTTTTCCTTGTTACTACATCAGTGCATTAAAAAGGGTGAGACTGCTTTCTTCCAGTGTAATCTTTCCACTTCATATTTCTGTTTGGTCTGAGCAAAGTTTGCCCCTACAAAAGGCCACAAACCTATAAGCTGGTGCCAAATAATAAATCTTGTTTCCAAAAGCTGTTTTTCAGCAGCTGGCAGCAATGATAATTATTCATATCCACAGAAATCACAATGTCCAATATAATTTTATCACACACACACACACACACACACACACACACACACACACACACAATGGATGTGATTTAAATAGTGTTTCATTTAGACTTCCACAGGAAGAAAATATCCAGAGACACACAGAGAGGGAAGCATTAGGCATTCAGAATGATTTATATTACTCCATATTGTTTTCATGGTCATTTTAAAACTTAGGCTTCAAGCATGTGTGTGTGTGTGTGTGTGTGTGTGTGTGTATTAAATGAAGGCTGAGGCTTCAGCACTTACTTATATCATACCTACATGAAGTCATGAGTTTCATCCCCAGTACCACAAAAAATAAAAGTAAATTAAACACAATAAATTAATGAAATGATGAACTGCTTTGGAATTTACTATGCTATAAGTACTTTAAATATGTTCCCAAACTTAACTTTGAATTTTTCCTCACAACATTTTGACCTTGGTAAGAAACATAGGTACTTTAACTTTCTGAAAAATTACCATTGAGGTAATACATGAGCTACAGCCAAGGCATTGCTAAGGGAATCTGTTACCCTTGGATACTAATTAACTCTAAATATTGCATATAAATTGAGTCATCAGCTAGTAAAAGAAGCAGCTCACAGAAGAAAGTAAAATCAAAGTAGTTCAAAATAAAAATATTATCTTCCAATTATAGCAAAAGGGACCAAGGGAATGATGGGAAACTTCTCAGCTCAGCCTTCTGTTCCCTTTTCTAGTAGTTTCTTTCACTTATCTTGTCCTTTATTGCCCTTTTTTCTGGATGGCAGGTGTGATTTGTTGGGTGGAGTGAAAGTCCCTTCCCACAGGGAAACGATGCTCTTCTTCATCTCTTAGTCTCACGGTAAAACTACTTAATATGAGATCTATTGTCTAAACAAAAATTTAAATGAAAAATACAGCATGATGTACAATACATCACTGTGAACTGTGAGAGCTCTGCTGTACACAGATGCCTAGAACCCATTATCTTCATAACTAAACTTCATACCTCTTACCAACACTTCATTTCCCTCCTCTCCCTTCCCCCGTCCCCGGCAGCCATCATTCTTCCTGGGCTTCTGGATTTAACCACCTTAAGATAGCGCATATCCATTAGAATCATGCAGCATTGCTCATGTGTCTGTGTTTATTTACTTAGCAGATAATCCTCCAACAGCCGTGTCACAGTAACAGGATTTCTTTATTTCTTTTTTCAGAACTGAGTATTAGTCTATTGCATAGCTATACCACATTTCATTATACAGTCAGCTAAATAGGTTTGTACAGAAGTCTGCTGTGATCCAGGTAAGGTTCTTTTCTGTACATAGTCATGTGTGCCAAAGAGGATGTCAAGATTGTTGTCAAAGCACAAATTCACACACATGTCATCTTCAGCTGTGAATTTGTGACATACTTAGGACATTTCTTTTTTCTTTTTCTTTTTTTTTTTTTTACATTTCAACAACAGTTTTCTCTCTTCTCCTCTTTTCCCAGCACCCCCATCCCCCCATTCCTCCTCCTCAGTTTCTCTTCAGAAAAGGCCAGACTTTCCATGGATTTCAACCAATTATTAACCTGCAGTAAGATGAGGCACCTCCCTTTTATTAAGGCTGGGCAAGGCAACCCAGTATGAGAAAAAGGGTTTCTAAAGCAGTCAAAAGAACCACTTTTCTATACAATAGTTTGAAGAGGCACTATTAACCCTGATCTAATCTAAAGCAACAGATTGAGTAGTTCAGGCACAACTGCCCATCACCCAGGTGTCCTTGAGTGAAGAGAACCTGTATACAACTTGTCAAGAATTTTGACGACTATGTCCCCTCATATTTGCTTGTTCCCACCCTGAGGAACAAACACAGCAGTAGACTGCTCTTAGAAAGCATCACTTACGCAGAAGCAGAGCAGCTATCCTAGCGGAACTGTGATTCACTGATGAGAGTCATGACTCACGCTCTAACTTTAAAAAAAATCTGACTTCAACCTGATTTATGAGCTGCTAGCTTTTATCTGCCTCCATGGGACTTTTCGTTTCTCTTCATCAACTTTTACACATTTGCCTTCTTGACCAAAAGAATTAAACTTATCTAGTGAAAATATTTCTGTGAGATGGCCATCATTCAAAAATGCAGTCCATGAGAATGTTTTGTTAGTTCCTAGAGATGATGCTTAAATTTGTGTGGGAGAAAAGAACTATGAAAAATTTATTCATTTAACAAACACAGACATTGGTAATACATGTTCCTTGACCAAATAGTCTTGGTGTTAAAGGGAGACTTTTCAATGTCATACTATCTTTTAAAGCATGGGGAAGGGCACAGTATATAGTTTGGTTCCACGGTGGTCCTCACGTGGAGTCCATAGATATAACTGGTGATTGATCTTCTACTTTCACTCCTCTACTTTATTTCTATCTTCAGTAGAATGGAAAAAACAAAAATATGTATTCTTTCTCACTCAGATCTATGAGGAGTAATTAAATTGGCCCTGTCACAGTAGAAAAGGCTCTAGTGACTATGACCACATTCTCCATGGTAACAGTGTTATTGCTAACAGTTAGCTATTTTTGGAACTGATCTAAGATAAATCCAATGAACTTCAATGCTAAATCCAATGAACTACAATTACCAAATATCCAGATTCAAACAGGGTGTTTAAATGTGTTATTCAGTATAAAAATTACCAAATTGCATTCCAAGGAAAATGAGAAAGAATCTATGAGGAAAGTCCAGAGCTCCTTTGTACATGAGAACTCTAGCCACTGGGCTACCTTCTACCAAAGAATGTCTACCTTCTCTAAGAAAGTAAAAAAAAGACCACTGGTGGCCCACTGGTGACAAGATCATAGACATGGAAAAGTGCTCTGGCTTAGTCACAGTCATGGCCGGCCCCATGAACACAGAACCAAATGGCAAGGACAGTCACTCCAGGAGCTTACACCACTCATCTCGATGTCATCCTTATTTCTCCTTAGCTGATTTTAGTAATACACCACAAGAATAGCTTATGATGATAAACAAGTAAGATTCTTCCAGCATATGCATTGAACTAAGTCACACTATTTAAGAAAGCAAGCATAAATTAAAGTAATAAATTAAAATTAAGTAAAATTAAGTATACATGTAATGTATAGATTCTGGTGTGTTTGTTTTTCCTTACTAAAAGACAAAGAAAGGGAAAAATAATAAAAAGTAAGAGGCTGGAAAGTTTAATGCAAGATATATGTAAATCTATACATAAACCTAATAGGCTGAGATAACTTAGAAAAAAAAAAGGTTCCAAGTGGTAACTAGTCTCTGATGCAGATAGGATACAGCAATGTCCACAAGCCAACAATATCAAAATGGTAGGAAAGGATTGTGAGAAATTACTCTTCCTTAGAATTTATCTATCTAAGTCAAGGATGCCTTGGTGATAACACCATTAACTTCAGCCCAGTAATCCAAACCAAGGAAAACGCAATGGAAAAGTAAAAAATATTTATTCTACCTAACCCAACTAACCCCACTGAACATGTATACTATAGGCTTCTAAACTGCAGCCCTTGGTGATGGCAAACCTAAGACAGAAAAGCCAAACACTGCATGCTGCGTTTGGTGTACAGCGTGTCTTTTCTGCTTAGCACAAGAAGAATCTACTCTCCAGCAGAGACAAGGGCTGGACCCAAGGCCTTGTAGCAGCAAGGTGGTGAGATACTGTTCATTTTATTATTATTATCATTCATTTATTCTCTTTCTTCTTTTTGCCTCCAAAATAAAAAATAAAACAACCATCTCATTGAATATCCAATTAAATCCATGTCCAATTCAGAATTCGTCTTCAGAGCTATCAGCTAACAGCATCACTCTGTCTTGCATACTGTTGAATTCTCTCTGCTGGGGGAAAAAAAACAGGAAAGCATTAAATCCTTTCTCTCTGAAGCTGAGGAGCAGAGTCACTCTAAAGAACAGAGGTGCAGCTAACACCAAGCACTTTGAAGAGAACCCTCTTCTGTACTGTTAAACTCTGTACTTTATCAAGCCAATCAGGCAAGCAGTGAAAGATTCTCTGCAATGAATCAGGTTTGCTCTTGGTTCTTCCATACCTTCCTTTTATGCCTTTTGAAGCCATTTCTTCTACGGCGATTCATAACCTTAATGCTGTAGAGTGCTCCCAAGATGAACAAGGCTCCAGCTATCCCTACCCCGACAGGCACCAACATTCCAGACATGTAGCCAGCCTGAACAGAGGAGAGAGACATTTATCAGGGTTGTTACACAGACCACCAGGTTCTGGGTTGCTTTGCCCTGCTACAGAGCATCAGGTTTTTTGATGCTTTGAATTCTTCTGTCTGTTCTCTTATAATTTAAAAGGGAACCCAGAACAAAGATACTGTTTTGGGGGAAGAAAGCAACAGAGGAAGTAATGAGCCTTTTTAAGGCTTTTCTTTATTATTATTATTATTTGAAATCCCTTAGTTCAGAAATAAATCAGCCCGACCTAGTGGCCCCTCCAGCCCTCGATTATGCACATTTGTCAACATCAATTTTTTGATGACAGAAATATAATTTGTATTAAAGATGGATGGAGTGGGCTTCTGAGAATGCCAGGGCTATTAAAATGCAATAAATTGGAAACAGCCTGAGTTGCATGCCAAAGGGTTGAAGTGTCCTCTGGAATATTGTGTTCCTTGGCGGTAAAGTGGGGATTCTCACTCTCTTGCCCTCCTTCCTTTTCTTCAGCTCTCACTTTTCTCAGCTATATTGCTGTAAGAGAGGAAGGATAAAAGTGCATATAAGCAGTTCAGGGTGCTGCCAACAATACAGAAGGGGCAGAGGCAAAATTGAAGAGTTGTGTTAAACATTAGAAGACAAGGACAAGGAGCTGTGTGAATACGAAATGGATCTCTGAGAGAAGCAATGTGCCCAGTGAACAAGACCAAAATAGAGACTGTCCTCAGTCCTAGAGAAGCAGTGGCCAAAAGTGGCACAAAGATCACTGCTAGCAACATGGCTGCTCCCAAAGAGCTTTGGGTGTCTTCAGCATACCCAAACTCACTATAGACACTTCAGTCCTGAGAGAACAGTGGGATGCCAGCACTTCCCTGTACCTCAGTGCATAGCTCAGGTTCTACCAGCTTTTGGAGCAAGGACCATGTCCTGAGGTAGATTTTTGCAGTAAAACCCCTGTGGGCTGCATGGTTATCCACTAACCTAGAACCATTATATAGGAAAGCATAAGGCTTAGACCCCACTGGAAAAATATATTAGTTATAACTTTTAAAACCTAGAATACATAAATTGTGGTACATTTATACAATAAACTACGACTCAGCAATTAAAAACAAGGAAATCATGAAATTTGTAGGCAAGTGGTGAGAACTAGAAAAGATCATCCTGAGTGAGGTATCCCAGTATCAGAAAAACACATATGGTATATACTCATAAGTGGATATTACACATATAATATAGGAAAACATACTAAAATCTGTACACCTGAAGAAGCTAAGCAAGAAGGAGGACGGACCCTGGGTAAGATGATCAATCTTCATTCAGAAAGGCAAATGGGATAGATATCTGAAGAGGCAGGGAACAGGACAGGAGCTTACCATAGAGGGACTCTGAAAGACTCTACCTAGGAGTGTATCAAAGCAGATGCTGAGACTCATAACCAAACTTTGGGCAGAGTGCAGGGAATCTTATGAAAGAAAGGGGAGATAGTAAGACCTGGAGGGGACAGGAGCTCCACAAGGAGAGCAACAGAACCAAAAAGTCTGAGCATAGGGATCTTTTCTGAGACTAATACTCCAACCAAGGACCACTCATAGGTATAACCTAGATCCCCTGCTGAGATGTAGCCCATGGCAGCTCAGTATCTAAGTGGGTTCCCTAATAAGGGGAACAGGGCCTGTCTCTGACATGAACTCAGTGGCAGACTCTTTGATCACCTCCCCCTGAGGAGGAGGACAGCCTTACCAGGCCACAGAGAAAGACAATGCAGGCTCTCCTGATGAGACCTGATAAGCAAGGGTCAGATGGAAGTGGAGGTGGACCTCCCCTATCAGTGGACTTGGAGAGGCTCATAAGAGGGTGGGATTGGGAGGGAATGAAGGAGGAGGCTACAGCTGGGATACAAAGTGAATAAACTGTAATTAATATAAAAATAAAAACTTATAAATAAAAGTATTAGAGTAGATTGTGTTAAGATTGAAAGGAAACTGAAAATCTTAGTAGAAGCATATAAATTCCGAGAGAACAAGACTAGTGAAAAATGTTATTAAAGTAATAAAAATTAATTAAATCTTTACTTGATAACTAACTAACTAACTAACTAACTAACTAACTAACTAACTAACTAACTAACTAACTAACTAA